AAACTATTGGGAGAAGAAACTTCCAAAACCACCCTCTGTGCGCAGGTGTCTTTGGTGGTACGGAGCACTGTGGCGACTCCAGGGAACAGGTTTCCTCTCCATCCCTGGACAAGGTGAGGGTAAAAATGACTGGTGTACCCCTTTAGTGCAGAAGACTCTCTGTGTGTGTGTGCGTGTGTGTGTGTGTGTGTGTGTGTGTGTGTGTGTGTATACAGATCCACCTGAGATTAGGATGTGTCAGTCTCTGGTGTCCTGCAAAGGGGGCAGAACGGGATTTGTCAGAATGTAAGAGGCTTCCATACACCAGTATCCTCCTTGGTGCTGGTCAGCTCCACTTGGACAGTGGTGAGCAGTGTGTGGCTGATGGACAGAGGGAGAGGCCAAGGTAAGCAGACCCCACAGACAGCATTCCTGCTGCTCTGGCTTCTGGCCCAGCCAGGGCGGACTCAAGGAAAGGAGTGTGTTCTTGGAGGAGTTTCTCCTGGCACCTGATGCTCCTGTCTACACCACAAGCTTCATGGTGGGATTGCGGGGGCAGGGACAGGTGTTACTGAGGATGGCTTATAGTCAGGGCCAAGTTCTGAAACAAGCTACACGAGTTCAAATTTCATCACACATATTTGTTAGCTTGGTGACCTTGGGTAAGAGGCCTCTGGGTCATAGTTTCTATGTCACAGTTTCCCCATGTGACAAGCAGCAAAGTATAATATTTAAAACTGTGGGCCCTGAGACTGTTACAATCATTGTGGAATTACAAACTAGGATTACAGGTCCCATTTGACCCAGCTATTCCCCCTTCTGGATATTTTCCCAAAAGAACTGAAAACATCATACCACAGAGATACATCCATGTTTATAGCGGCACAATTTGTCATAGCTAAATCTTGGAAACAACTCAGATGCCCATCAACAGAGGAATGGATAAAGATGCAGTATTTTTGGTACTACTCAGCCATAAAGAAAGATACACTCAGGGCTTTTATAGGTAAATGGATGCAACTAGAGACCATACCCATAAGTGAACCAAGTCGGACCACATGTGTAAGAGTTGTACTGTCTCCCTAGTATAAGGATCCGAAAGAGTAAATAAAATCTGGAAGGTACAATAGATATTGTTAAAGGGAAAGAAACTGTTCAAAAGGAAAGAACTGAGATAGGGTAAAACAAAAAGGAAAGAAAGAAGGGGAAAGATATAAATATATACACATGATAGCTAAGATAGTTGTATTATTAATTTATATTGGTTTATTGAAAGGAACAGTTAATGCCTGTTCAATCAATTTTGCATTCCTAAATTTGGTAATCTGAACAACTACCTAGAAGATAACAAGATGCAATGTAACAACCACTGTTAATTTCCCATCATCATATTTTTCCCCCATAATTTTATTGAGAAACAAATAGCAATGAGACAGTTTCAAACCAAATTGGTAGGACAGTTTCAATAATTAACACATTGCATACATTC